ACGTACCTACGTACCTACGTACGTACGTACCCACGTACCTACATACGTACGTACCTACGTACGTACGTACGTACGTACGTACATACATACATACATACACACATATATAAACCATATATATCTATCCATACCCCTTTTATGTATATATACATGTATATATTTATATACACACATGTATGCAAGACATCCCCGCAGCCATATCTCTCATCGGTTGCATGTTTGACTTGATGTGGGTCTGTAGGCTCCAAAGTTCCAGTAACAGCCCTCTCCAAACTGGACCTGAACACTAAAAGCCTCTTCCAAAGTGGCGGTAGGACAGCGGCCATTAGGCTGCTTACTTCAACCTTGAACCCAAACTTTAAGACTCGAGCATGCAAAGACGGTCTTAAGCACACCAAAACCACGTTTTCAGAGGTTCCTTGAGGCGCGGCTGCGCCGAGCCCTGGCGTCGAAGAACGACGTCATCGACGAGCTCAAGGCATCACCATCATTGGAACCAGCCAGCGGCCGGAAAAGACGACCATAGACATTTCTCCCCTTTTAGAAGGGGGCTTTGAGTATGATTATGGGCCTCGACATGCCAACCTCAAGCCGATTAACACCGCAAATCCCAAACCTCCGGGGCCCTAAAGCTTAAGCCTTCATCTCAGGAAGGGGACGTATAACCCCGCTTAAAACTACCCATGAACCTCCAAGTAAACCCAAACCTTGAAGCGCAAACTTTAATTCCCAGAGGACTTCGTCTTTCAAACCACTGCATCCTGCGGACAGGACGAGCTGGGGCGCCGGGAGGCGGAGATCTTCGAAGCGCGGAGCATCCTCGCCGGATTGGCAACCGAGGAGCCAACGAAAAAGAGTCCCAGCAAAAAGGCTCAGGTTCTCGGGTTAAGGGCTTAGGGCCATTATCAACGTTCCTGAAGCCACGGGCATTGCTTGTCCTTGCAAAACATGGTGATGAAGATGGATGTGAACGAGGCATCTTGCATGGCCGCGGTCCAGAAGCAATGCTTGAGGTTGTTGGAAAATGGAGCTTTTCTCAGTTGAGGCAACACTTCAGCACCATGTCCACGGAAAAGCGTTATCTAGAGCTGACAGAATCGTGACTATGCTCTCTAAACCTAGACCCATAAGCCGAAATCCTACACTCGGCAACCCTGATCCTTCGACCCCGGATACCAAAAGGCTAGACCCTAAACCTTAAACCCTTTAACGCCATGCCAGCTGACGAGTGTGTGAGTCGAAACCGTAAATCCTAAACCACCAGCCTTGGGCCCTTAAAGCGTGAGACCGGCAACCCAATAGCCGCCTTGATGCTTTGATGGCGCGCGAGGCGGCTCGTGTGCCTAGCATGACGTAAGGTTTTTTTGAGTTTTGGGTCGTGGGTTTGTGGTTGAGTTTTTTTTTCGAAGGGGGGGGGTTCTTTGGTGATTTTGGGTGGTGCGGTTTTGAGCTTTGTGATATCAGTCCGTGCAACGCTGCTTCGGGTACTGCAGCCCTCCCTGACCTGATGTGGCTTTGAGGAGGAGCCCAGCGCATGTTGTCAATCTCGCTTGCCGCGAGGCCTTCGGGGTCGGCATTGCTGTGGCCTTACTGAGCTGTGTGCATGTTGAAGTTTGGGACTTTCCTTTGCGAGCGCCGACGGCAAATGCTAGCCTGCTAGCCGCTGATGCTTCCTAAACCCCTAAGCCCTAAACCCTAAACCTTCTAGGCGAGGGCATTGGGTTCAAACTCGGGTGCACGGGCCGAGCCGCCACGAGGTGGTCTATCTGAAGCTGCACGGAGAACCGGGTGCTCCAAGGCAGCTCACAGTTTACAATAGAGGTTAAGGTACCTGAAAGGGTGTCTGTGATGCTTGCTTACCATGATCATGATAAGTTTCCGGATTTCTTAGCAAGTGGCTGTAAGGGTTTCAAGACTCATTCTTGACGGGTTGCTGTATATAAGGGTTAGTGACCGCGAGTGTGGAATCGAATGTGCCAGCCGAACCTTGCCAGAAACCGCTGGGTCTGCAGGTTCGATTTGGGCTCAAGAGCCATGAAAATACAGAGGTTGCTGTCTCGCGGCGCTTCTCCCGTGCCTCAAGACGAGCTGTCGGGCAGCGAAGGAAGCCTGGACGTAGAAGAGGAGCTTCACCAGCGGAGCCTTGATCCCTCGGATCCCGATGTCTACTTGGATGCCTTCTTCGGGCCTTTGTTCTTCAAGCTGGATCGGATCCGCAAAGAAGGCTCGGCGAAGCCCCGCTTCTCCGATTACTGGCTCGTGAGCATTTTCCTGCTGCTCAACGTGGGTGTTCAGCTGACGATTGCCTTGAAGATCGAGCAAGTGGGACAGGAAACCTATGGATCCATTGGCAAAAACCTGATGCTAGGCCGTGCTTGCAACGAGTTTAGCCGAATTTCTGTGCGAAACAAACTCAGGAGGAACAAGCAAACACGATGGGTTTTCGACGGCTTTCCGGCACAGCCCAGGAATCATGGCACCTGCTGGAGAATATCACATCATCCCGAGTTCATCGGAGCCCTCTATCCCGAGAGTCTTGGAGGCTGGCCGGACTGCAAAAACCCACAGCCTTTTCTAGGTAGTATTATTAGGGGTACCCCTTAAAGGGTACCCCTTCTGAACCCTTGGCTCTCTTAAAAGGGACCTTATTGAGAGGGTCAATATCCCCAAGGGTCCCCCTAATCCTAGCTCCCATATTCCGGAAAGGTTTAGCAAGAAGTTTGCGCGCTGTGCACCATCGGAGGCTGCGCGAATCGCCTAAAGTAGAAGACTAAGAAAAGTCGGAACACAGGAAGCGTCGAACATCACAACATGGACAGCCACTACAAAACAGTGCAAGCAAAGCGAGCCACAACAGAGCCCACCACTGGTTAAGTGAACGCGAGTAGCAAAGTACTGCTAAACGAGAATTTGTTGCCTTTTTTGTACTTCTGGCGTACCTTTCTGCGCCTTCACCTAGCTGAGACACACAAAGCGCCTTCAACACCAATGCCGTCCGAACCCCAAAACATAGCCCTGTCTAAGCCTTTCAACCCCACGCCAGTCAAACCGCATAAAGCCTGGTTGGGTCCTGGTATAGAAGCCTGAACCAGTGCTAATACTGCTCAAGGTTCTTTAGCAACGTTCCAGCACAGCATAGCCCAAAGCGCTGTTCTAGTTGACAAGGCCCCTAAGGCCCCCATATCATTCGGAGGCTTGCGCGACTCCTCGACCTATGACTTCGACTGCACCCAGCCGATGCTAACCTTATCCATCTTCCCGGAGAGCTTGGATCATGTCTGCAGCAGAAGCTGCCCTTTTTACATGTTTCGGAAGCCATGTAACTCCACTATTCTACCTTAAGAAAAGCTTGGCCTTGTTTGGGCCAAAGAATTCCGCAACTAGGATACGAACCGCGATGGCTTTTGGACCATTGACGAGGTAGTGGCAAGGCAGGCGCAGCTTGCCAGCTTAGGGAGCAACATGGCCAGGGGCATGAACAAGACCGTGCGGCGCATGGCGAAGTATGATGAGACGAATCGTCCAGGCTCACGCAGCATGTCTACGAGCCCTGTCAAGCTGGACATGGAGTTCTTCAAGTTCTACAAAGGAAAGATCCAGGTCTGTGTGGCCAACGACAAAAACTTGTGTGGAAACCTCGAAGCCTCCCAGCAGCTGCGTAAGATGCTGGGAGGCGACGCCCAAGGCGATGAGGATCGTGTGGCTGAGTGCGAGGACCTTATGAACACCTTCTGTCCGAAGATCTTCGGATCGAATTTCCAGTGGATCAATTACGAGACATCAGAGCTCTGTGGTGAGCCTGAGTTTGACCGGCACGGGGACGTGAACAAAGTCACCTACGAGTCAGTTACGACCTACAAGGGAGATTCTGATTCGATTCTCGGCCATATCTTCGTCACCTTCTTGGTCTTGATGCTCTTCGTGTGGATCATGCTGATGCTGAGTGAATTCCGCAGCATCTTCAATCTTTTCCATGTGATTTGGTATATGCCGTCGACGAGCGACTCGGATTCAAGCTTTGCAAGTGGAGACGAGACGTTCACAGTGTCCAAGTTGCCGACCTTCCACAAAGTCTTCTCCTTGCTGTTCATGGGGCTTTCATAGAAATTCTTTCTGTTTGTCTTTATAGTATGAAACCCACGGGAAGAACGAGCAACAGGTGACTAATTACCAATACTATTGCCAAATACAAGACTTTTAAGGTTACTCTTATTGTCATTATGGCTGTTTTCATTAAATGGTGTTGTCAGTTTTGTCAAACGGGGGGGGGGGTTACAGGTTCATTGCCCTGCCGCGTCTCGTGATTGCAGTGGTAGTCCTGTACGTGGGAGCAAACTTCCTGGCAATCACCAACAACTTGCAGGACCTGGTGCTTAACAGCACTGCTTTGGGGTTCCTCATTGAGGTGGACAACATGATCCACAGTTCCTTGCTGGGCCAAAGCTTCGAGATCCTCGTGATGCACCGCTTCGAGGCCGTCTCAGCGCCGAGTCGCGAGCGCGGGGTGGTGCAATCCTTTGGTGCCTTGGTCGTGTCTCTCGTTGCCACGGGCTTGTTCATTGCTTACATCTACTACCAGCCATTCGGATTGCAAGCGGTAGGCTTTGGTGTGCAATGCTTGTGCCACCTGGAGGGAAACTGCTATGCCCAGAAGCTGCTTCCAGAAGTGGGTTAGGCAGGGAGAGGTCATATTGTGAGATGCGTGGCTCAAGACGGGCTCAGGACTCTGTTAGCTTCTCAGTCATTCAACCAAATACCTGCGGGGCGGTAGACAAAAGGAGCACCGCGAAGCATAGATCTGACCCTTGCTTTGGTGCGGAAATGTCGAAGCTGTAGGCCTTGCGTGGGTTCGGGATTCACCTGGCACTGGTTGAGGCGTACCGCTACTATTCCTACGACGCACTTCTTACGAAAGCCATTTCATTTGTTTTTTGGTCTTGGCCGCTGGTCTTGCTTTATATGAAGGTTGCCAATTGCGATAGCAGTGATCTCATCAATGTGTCATGTGTTGTTAGCTGTTAGCTAATTACGACGTATTCTTTGAGTACGTGGATTAGCATTGTCATCTACAGTTGTCACTTCCGCATGATTTCTTTTACAACTTCCTTTCCTAGTACCATGGCTACTACTACTGCTGCTGCTGCTGCTGCTGCTCCTACTACTACTACTACTACTACTACTACTACTACTACTACTACTACGCACAAGTACTACTACGTACAAGTACTACTACTAGTGACTAGTGCTACTAGTACGAGACCTCCTCCTGCTGCTGCTGCTGCTGCCACTGCTAGTTGCTTTGCCGAGGTTCGTCGGTATTTTTGGCTGGTCCGGATATTTTGCTGATGATGCCGGTGATCTTGATGCTGAGTGTTGACGGTTGTTTGCCATGTTTTCTTGAAGTTGGAAGGAGCCCTGAGAACGCAGGGATCCTTGACTCAGAGCTCATGTTGCAGGAACCTCAGTTTACCTTTTATGAGGAAAGCGAAATCTTCAACATATACCCTTTCATGTTCACTCAAAGCCCGCCCCTTGGATAAGGAGGGGGATCCTTGATATGACCTAGAGTATGTGGACTACTTTCCAAACTTTGCAAACACCTGGCGAACGTACACCCTGAACAGGTAGAATCCGGAAGGGCCCATGAACTGTTTCAATAGAGGGTTCATGGTTCACGGTTTTAGTGGCTTACGCCCACAGCGGCCTCAATGCAAAAGGGGCTTACAGTGTAAGGTCCACTCAAAGGGTTATGGAACTTGGAAGGTGCTGATAGGGACGCAAACCTTGGTCTCGGCATGCTGCCCTCAGCCCTAAGCTGTTGTAGTGTATTGTTGATGGGCAGTTCCTTCGAGGCGGGATAGTGCTGATTGTGCTCGTGTTGGTGCTGGGCGGCGGTGGTAACTTGTTTTCGTGGTCGTCAGGGGTGTAGCATCTCATGTTAAGGCATGCCCGCAGGTGTTTCTCAATTTCTCTGAACCCAACATCCGCAACACCCTACTAACCCTGGCCCTAGCCAAGCCATTCGTGGTGGCTCCTTGCTGTAACCATTCTAGATTCTAGATCCCCTATGCTGTGCTTCAGGTCACATGGAGAATGATCTTACAACTCTCTGGCTGCTACTTTAGGATGATAATTCGGGGCAGGCTACCTAAATGAGGGTCAAGTCTAAGCTACCTTGGTCCTGTAGTTAAGGAGTGGGAGGAGGCTGTGTTGAAGCTTTGGGATGCTTTCGAGCTACTCCGTCGCTTGAGTCACACTTCCGTTCCTGCAGAGGAGGACTGTCGTGAACCTCCCTTTGAGCAATCCTCCCCGATACCACCTTTGTGCGCGTAGCTACTTCCCATTGCAAGGATAATGATCGAGATTTGAAGGTCAAGGCCCCCTTGCACGAAGGATGTACTAACCAGGGTTCTACATGAGGCTTTCGGGTTGAGGGTGGCTGGCTTCTCTGTCACATCTCTTGGTATGGTCACAAGCCTTCTGAAAGGAATGTGGCAGAACGGTGAGCTTCACTGTTGATTTGCAAGAGTTTCTTCCTGTGCTCCTGCAAAGTAGAGGAAGGGCTGCTGGAACGGTAAACCCTAAACCCTAAAC